ATGGCTTAGGCTTGAGCTAGGACTCCTCCTACATAAGCATCTGAGGGGCATGGATCACAGCAGTGCTTCTCAAACTTTAATATGTCCAGGAATCCTGGGATCCTATTAAAATGCAGATTCCAGTTAGGGTGGGGCCTAAGACACTAATATTGCAGATTGGGGACCCACACACTGAGTGGTAAAGCACTAATTAGATGTCTTGTGTAGTCTCTTTAAATTGATTACAAGATCCTGATTTATAGAAAGAACTGGCAAAGGTTCAAAGTACCAAAGAAATCTTCTAGGAGAAATTTATTTAGTATAATGCTTGATCTTATTAATAACAAATGTGTCCTTTAAAAATTTTTTAAATTATACTTATATTTTATTTTTTCTGTTTTATTCTTTTTAAAATATTTTTTATTTTTAAATTATAGTTAGCATAGAATATTATATTAGTTTCGGTATGCAACATAGCAATTAGACATTTATATAACTCATGAAGTGATCATCCTAAGTCTAGTACCCATCTGACACCACACAGTTATTACAATATTATTAACTACATTCCTTATGCTGTACTTCGCATCCCTATGACTATTTTGTACTTCTTAATCCCTACCCCTTTTTCACCCACTCCTCCAACCCCGCTTCCATCTGGCAACCCTCAAAATGTTCTCTGTATCTATGAGTTTGTTTCTGTTTTGTTCTTAAGAGTCCACGTGTAAGTGAAATCATATGGCGTTTGTCTTTCTCTGCCTTACTCCACTCAGCATAATACCCTCTAGGTCCATCCATGTTGTTGCAGATGGCAAGAATTCATTCTTTAAAAGAATTTTTTAATGGCTGAGTAATATTCCATTGTCTATGTACCACCTCTTCTTTATCCACTCATCCTCTGATGGACACCCAGAATGCCTCCATATCTTCGCTATTGTAAATAACACTGCAATGAACATATGGATTCACATGTCCATTCAAAGTAGTATTTTGGGTTTCTTTGGATAAATACCCAGAAGTGGAATTATTGCGTCCTTCTTTGTCTCTTGTTATAGCCTTTGTTTTAAAGTCTATTTTGTCTGGTATAAGTATTGTTATCTCAAGTATTTTTTTTTTCATTTCCATTTTCATGAAATATCTTGTTCCATTCTTTTACTTTCAGTCTGCGTGTGTCTCTCAATAAGAAGTGAGTCTCTGGTAGCATATATAAGGGTCTCATTTTCTTATCCATTCAGCTACCCTATCTTTTGATTGGAGCATTTAATCCTTCTACATTTAAAGTAATTATTTATAGATATGTAGTTATTGCCATTTTATTATTCATATTTTTAATCTCCCCCCACCCCCCGTTTCTTTTTCTTCTTAAACAAGTCCCTCTGAATTTCTTGGAATACTGGTTGGGTGTTGATAAACTCCTTTAGCTTTTTCTTGTCTGGAAAGCTCTTTATCTGGCTTTCAATTATAAATGATAGCTTTGCTGGGTAAAATAATCTTGGTTGTAGGTCCTTACTTTTCATCACTTTGAGTATTTCATGCCAATCTCTCCTGGCCTGCAATGTTTCATTTGAGAAATCGGCTGACAGTCTCATGGAAGCTCTCTGGTAGGCAACTAGTTGCTTTTCTTTTGATGCTTTTAAGATACTCTCTTTGTCTTTAAAGTCTGGCACTTTAATTATGATTTGTCTTGATGTGGGCCTGTTTGGGTTCATCTTGTTTGGAACTCTCTTCACTTCTTAAGCTTGTAGGTCTATCTCCTTTGCCAGGTTAGGGAAATTTTCCATCAGTATTTCTTCAAATAGGTTTTCAATTCCTTGTTCTCTCTCTTCTTCTGGTACCTTTATGATGTGAATGTTAGTACACTTGATGTTGTCAGAGGTCCATTAAACTATCCTCATTTTTTAAGACTCTTTCTTCTCATTGCTGTTCTGATTGGGTGTTTTCTGCTACCTTATCTTCTAAATCACTGATTGGATCCTCTGCTTCATCTAATCTACTGTTGATTCCCTCTAATGTAGGCTTCATTTCAATTATTTTATTCTTCATTTCTGACTGATTCTTTTTATGGTTTCTATCTCCATTTTGATGTTTTCTATCTCTTTAAGTTCTCACCAAGTTCATCTACTTCTAAGTTCATTGAGCATTCTAATAACCAGTGTTCTGAACTCTGTATCTGGTAGATTATTTGTCTCCATTTTGTTTAGTTTTTTTTTTTTTTCCTGGAGCTTTGTTCTGTTCTTTCATTTGGGACATGTTTCTTTGTCTCCCCATTTTGACTGCCTACTTGTGTTTATTTCTATGTTTTAGGTAGGGCTGCTATGTCTTCCAGTCTCAGTAGAGTGGCTTTATTTACTAAGCGTGCTGTGAGTCCCAGTGGCACAGTCTTCCCTGGTCACCTGAGCTGGATGCTCCCGATTGTCCCTTGTATGGGTCGTGTGTGCCCTCTTTTTGTAGTTGAGCCTTGGTTGCTGTTTGCTTGTCATTGGGAGGGATTGACCATTGGGCTGACTGGTTGTCAATGGAGGAGCTGCACTGTCTAGGGCCACTTGGCAAGAGTCACCAAGCAATCTGAAGATGGCTACCACCTGTGCTGGGCTTAGAGGAACCTTGAGAGGCCAAGCTGTGAACTGAGGTTGGCTGCTGCTAGTGCCAGGCTTGGTGTTGCTGAGCAAAAGGTACAGGGCATGCCAAGGCCAATTGTTGCTTGTTTGGGTTCTGTGAACCTTTAAGAGACTTTAGAAAAGTCTGCAACATGAGCCAAGACAGGTTTTTTTTGGTATGGAAAAGCCACTGGAAGAGGCTTGGGTGGGTTTGCAAGTTGGGAAGGGTGGGGTCTCAGGGAATCACTTGGGCAGGGCAACCTGTGTTAGCCAGGTTGATGGAGACTTAGATATGGCAGCTGCCTGTGTTCTGGGAGGAGTGAAGGCTCAACAAAGGAACAATGGATTCTGCTAGCATTTCTGTCTGGGAAAGCTGCCCCTTCAGCTCTTGCCCTGAAACTAGACAATTAAGTTTCTCCCTGTATATCCCTGGCACTTTTTGAGCAGTTGTCCCAGTGCTGGAGCTCAGAATGAGTGAGTCCATCACTGAGTAAGTCTGTGTACAAGCCCTTTAAGAGAAATGTCTGCAACTCCTGCAGCTCTCCATGTCATTCAGCCACAATCTCCACTGGTTGTCATAGCCATGGGTTGTGGGGATTTCTCTTTCTGGTACTGGAACTCTGGGCTGGTGAGCCTACTGTGGGATTGGGACCTCTCATTCCTTTGGGGGGACCACTACAGCCAAGATATCTCTCCTGATTTTCAACCACCACACATGGTTGTGGGACCAGCCCATTTTGCATCTCTGCTTCTCCTACTCGTCTCAAGGTGGCCTCTTATGTATGTCCCCAGTTATAGGACTCCTATTCAGCCAGACCTCAGACAACTCTTGATGATGGTTGTTCTGCCATTTAGTTATAATTTTGATGTGGTCATGAGGAGGTGAGCAGTGTATACCTACTACGCCACCTTGACCAGAATTCCCTATTTTTACTTTTCAATTATAGCTGCAGAAATGTCTTTTTTAAAGAACATGTGACCATCACTGTAGGTTGCTTTCTCCTATTCTTATACCTGATTCTCTTCTCTCTTGTCTATCTAATATAGAGGCTGCTAAAGCTGAAATGCTTACTTTCCTAGCCTTCTTTAGTGTTCTGGACGAAATACGTAACACAGAGCTGGCAGTGTGATGTGGTTAGTCCTGTAAGTCCTGTCTTGGATGTTAATGCAATGGCCTGAGCTGCAGAACTAATTTCAGCAGTTCAAAGATAGCAGGCCAGTGTCTCTGATTATCTCAGCCTTTCTCTTAGTCTTTTTATCTCATGGTCACAGAATAGCTGCTGCTGCTCAATAAGTTCAAGTATCTCTTAATATCACTGATTATCTTATTGGTCTCAAATTTTCTTAATCATATTTTTTTCACAATTGGTTTATTTGAATCAGAATCATATTACATTTGGTTATTTTTAAAAATAATATATATCTTAAGCTCCAAATTTATTTTTGTGAGATAAAAGTAATCCCTAATTTGGCCTTACTGGAGTTTTGTTTTCCTTGCAAACTGTAATACAGTATATAAGTTCTAAAAATTAAAATTTATTTTCTCTCATTAGCAAATTAACACACCGTGCTTATAGAAATCTTAAAAAATATAGAAAAGTAGAATTAAAAAAAAAAGAAAATCAGAGTCCCATCACTGAAGTACTGGTAACATATTTTCTTCCAGTGCTTTTTGTACAGTTGTGATTACACAATACTAACAAATCTGTGTCATTTTTTATTATTTTAAAAAGTATTTTAAGGATGATGAAAATATTCTAAAATTGATTGTGTTGGTGGTGGTACAACTCTATGAATATACTAAAAATCATTGACTTGTACACTTTAAATAGGTGAATAATATGGCATGTAAATTATATCTCAATAAAGCTGTTATAAAATTTTTTTGAATAAGAATTTTCTCTTACAATAAACTCTTAATATTTTTAATTATTATAAAATTATCTATCAAGAGGCTATACTTCAACTTATTAAAACTTATTGTTAGATATTCGGGTTGGTTCTACATTTTGGCTACCATAAAAATTGCTGCAGTCAACTTCTTGGTACTTAAGACTTCTCTGTATCTAAAATTAGCTCCTCCTAGAAGTAGAAGTATTGTGCTAAACTGTAATATTTCTTAAACATTTATTGAGCATTTATTAGGAGCTTACTATTAGTCAGATATGAACCACACTAAGTACTTTATATGCATTATTTCTTCGAATTCTTCTTTACCCTAACAGGTCTATTCTAACCCTACTTTCGAAATTGAAACTGAAGCTCAGAGAAGACAAGTAACTCACTCAAGGCCACAGAACCAATACACAGAGGAGCCAGGTGCTGACCAAGCTCTGTCTGGTTCCAGAGGCCATGGTCATTATGTTCCCTCATTAGACCTTATTTTTTCAAAACTTGCTAAGTTTCAATGGTAAAAATGCTAAATTATTTTCTTTTCATTACTGGTGATGTTAGATATTTCCTTGTGTTTGCCAAACTAGACACACTCTTTTTTTGTTAATTGCCTTTTGTGGCCTTTCTATAGTTGACTACAATTTAAAGAGTGAATGAAATGAGATCGATGACTTGTCACCATAGTTAAAAAGAAAAACTCAGGCACAGTTTCTTTTTTAGAAGTGTGCTCCAATGTGGAAGCCCCTTTAATGATGGCTGACATGACTGGGAGACTTCCCTATAATCCAACTCTTTGACACAAGTGCCTGCTTCTTCCCCTCATTCCTTCTACCTGGCTGAGCTCGGATACAGTGCAAAGGAAGACTACTTGGCTACATGGCTGGCCCTTCCCCTTAAGAGCAGTCCTGTTCCTTCTTGAAGCAGGAGAGCTTGGAGGCAATCATTGCTATGCTCCTAAAGCACTTAACCAAAGAGTGGCTTCTTTTCCACAGTTATGTAGACAAATACCACAATGATGAAGATGCCAAACACAGCAAGCTTCAAGCCCACCGGAAGCCTTTCTAGCTTCCTGCTCCCAACATTCTTGTTTATTACGCAGTAGTCTTTCTTTGTGGTGTTACTCCATTCTTTGAATCTGGTGTTTGGTGCTCTTGAGGCACACCTGCGAAAACATTAGCGACTCTTAGGGTTGCATACATCTACGAGCTGAGCAACCCCTGAAAGTGTGTGGGCCTTGGTGCTCAAGGGAGCAACCCCAGTGGGGCTTTAGGGAGCAGCCCTCTATCACTGAAAACCTATGCTAATTTTGACAAATGATAATAACAGGGTTCACGGGGATGTGAGCTTGAGAAAATCCCACCAAGCATTTCTTTATCATCCACTTGTGTAATGCTGGCATAAGGCCCTGACTCAGGGCCTCACAGCTCCCTTGGTCTCACTGGAGATCTGTAAGAGTGGATGAGGGCACCAGTATGCAAGCCCTCTCTCTTCCCTCTTTACAGGTGTAACTGCTACCTTTCAGGTTGGAGAAGGGAAGTGCTTTTGAAATCTGCTTATTTTGCATTTAAAAGGGCAAGAGAATACTTTCTGAAATCTTTTAAAGTCTTATGTTTTCATTAGTCTAATCCTGGAAATTGGCTGAAGTTTATTCAGAAATTAGGGAACTTTCCAGAAAGCTTTACTTTCTGACTAATAAAATGGCTGGTCTTGAGCATTTATTTCCACTACCTGCTCTTTTTTTCCCTTCTTTACCCATTTTCCAAGACACGAATAGGAATATATATCTTGAAATGACTACACATCAAGAACCTTGGGTTCTGGTCTCAGTTCATTGTGACTTTTGGCAGCCCCCTCAATCTCTCTGGTTCGTTTCCTTACCTCTAAACATAAGTGGTGAACTAGAACTTCTTCAGCTTTGAAATTATGAGATATTACAAATTCTCTTTCTCAACAGATTCTTTTTCAGACTCAAACTCTTCACGAAAGTCTGAATAACAGTTTTTTTTCCAGGAGTTACATAAGTCAACAATATCTCCTCATATGCTAAGAAAAGTATTACCTTATTTTCTCAGAATGCTTATGATCCAGACAGTAGATATCTTGGACTTTTGGTTTAGTGCGGGAAGCCTTGGGTCTCTAATGAACAGAAAGAAAATATCAATAATTTATTTATCAAGAAGATAATATTTATTAAATTTTCAAGAAGAGGCCTCATGATACAGTTTCTAATGTCTTGTACAAAGGACCTTATCAGACCTCTTATAATCTGAGGACTGATAAAGTTCTTGGTACATCATGTAGTTTAGTACTTCATAACACAAATTTTAAGTGTGCCTTTATTCAATAGTAGCAAAATCCTCCAAGTTCCATGAAGTAATATTTTACTTCAATGATTCATACTTGAACACTAGACACACCAGTGACGTGAGCAGCATTCTGTTCTTAAGTATCATCTATTTTGCTCTCTTATTTGTACTTTTATTGCTTGGAACTTTTTTATGAGCATGCGTCATTTTTATATGAAAAATAAAGTTATTTTAAAAAACAAGTTGGGTATGAATAATGACTAGAAAATAATTTAGGAAAATGAAAATGTTCTGTATGAAGAATAGGAGTAGAGACAATCATATTTTCTTTTTCCGAAAATTTCTTTCATTCTGTTATTTTTTTAATAAAGTAAAAAAGGATAGCTCGCTATGCCTTTGTTTCCTCTCTGTGAAATAAAATTGTAAAGATTAAGAGGTTTAATCCATGCTAAATGATTAAACATCTCTTAGCATATAAGCACTTAATAAATATTAGTAATAATGATTATGATAATAATCATTACTGTTAATTTTGTGTTGCTGTTTTTCCTTATGTGCCTGGCTTTCCTCGATTGTCTATTCATATTTAATATTCAGGTTTTATCTTTCTCAAGTGTCTGCAATGTCCAGGAATGCGAAGATGTGGTGTCATATGATGTTATTAACCACTAGTTATTGAGTGCCAGGCCCTATTAACTCAACTCACTGAGGCCTCCTAGACAACCCTACACTCATCTGGTATGCACTATCATTGCTTCATTTGGGAGATGATAAGTGTCGAGGCATAGAAAGTTTAAGTAACTGTCTAAGGTCACACAGTATCATCAGTGAAGCTATGTGCTGGAACCACTACACTAGACTCCCCTCCATCCTTCAGTTTCTAAAATAATTTTCCTCCTGTTAAAAGTCTTTTTCATTACTCTCATTCACTCAAATTGGTTATCTGGTCTATATTTCTTTAGTCCTAATACACACATTCTTTACTTTATTTTATTGACCCAAAGTTTCATTTATTCATTCAACAAACATATGTGGTATGCTGTGGAGTGCCAGGCCCCATGCCACTGTGAGAATTTCTGAAGGGTTCATCACACTGTTCTTGCTCTAAAGAGCTCACCACTGAGAATGGTTATGTGTAAGTATCCTGCACTGACTTCTCTTATCACTAATCAGACCACCTGTTGGATCTCATTCAGCTGTCTTCTATTTCTCTTTAATCAAGACACAATATCTACCACTTTACATCATTGGTAGCTTGGTCTCTATCTCTTCACAGGGTCCCAAGACCCCTGAACATGAGACTAGCCTTCTGACATCTACTGTGTTGCAAGATACCTCATGAAACAGTAGGCTATGGACAAGGGAATCAGGAATTGAAGAATTCCTCAAAATATGAGAGGAAGATAGGATTCACCTCCTACAGGGAAAGGACTTACCAATACCAGGACAGAACAAAAATCAGAAGGAAGGTCAAAAGTAGATGTTCTGACAGCAACATTGAGATAGATGGGACTAGGGTATGATGGAAGGTAGGACATGAGACACTGGGGCACTCAACTGAGTCACAGAGTTACCAGGAGAAAGGACAGACCTGGCCTTAGCAACTGCGTTGTCAGGACACTCCAACAAAGCACATAAATCTAGTGACTCTGAAATGTCACCTATAGGATGTGTTGTGTCAGCAGGTCCAATGGTCTCAGCCTGAAGTGGGTGGGAAGGACATGGCCTGCTGTACCATCATTTACTGCCGACAACCCCTTTCTTAGTAAAGGCCACCAACAATGAAACAGCTTTGGCTTCCATCTCTTCCTTCTACTCCCTGCCTCATCTTCTTAAAGAAGATGTTCTCAACAGCAGTGTAGTGAAACCCAAGCAGGGCCTCTGCAGATGGTGGGAAGCTGTACATGACACAAGAGCACCATGTTCAAAGAGGCACCATTCCCAGTGTAGATATCGAAGATGTACAAACCACTACAACAATTTCCTAGAAGACAGAAGCAAAGGCTTTTGAGGAAGAGAGACCTTAAAAATTCTCACCAAGGTGCCACTTGGGCTAGAGGTGGTCTGCTTACCAATAGATACTTCAAACTATTTCCAAAGGTGTTGGGAAAAAAATCTTTTTAAAGCACATTCTTTTAAAAAATGTTTTTAATTATAGGAAGTTTCAAACATATACAAATGTAGACAATGGTATAATGAACCTCCACAGACCTGTCACATGCAACTGCTTTTTAATTCTCTTAAATTTAAAAATAGATATGTTAAATAAAGCATTTGGGGTAGAAGTCTGGTGCGAAATCAAATTATAGGATTTCAAAGCTCTTAGGCAATCAAATACTCTCTCTCCTCTCTTTCCTCCTGCCATAGGAGTTTTAGGTCTTTGATTTCCTTTTCTTTTATAATTTATGTCCTTTACTATTATTCAAATATAGAGTTCTACAGTATGCAAAAGGTGAACATTTTGATTTTCAAAAAAGGAATAATTATAGCCTATCAACTTGACTGTGTAGCCATCAATAAATACAATAATTATAAAGACTATCTAACAGGGAAAAGGGATATCAATTAATGTTAAATGAGTAAAAAGAGTATAGAATTGTATGTACACAGTGACAGCGACTGTGTGAATACATACTGTATATGCACATAAACAAAAACTAGAGGGAAACTGAAAAATGAAATCAGCTTTTGTGTCAGGTATGTTTGTAGTTGATTTGTTTTTCATCTTTAGAACATTCCTTTAATGCTGTTATAATATGGTTTTCACTATAAACATCATTTATAATGGAACTTAAAAATATTGGTGTTCATTAAAGCTATGGCTTAGTGATAGTAAGTGGCACCATAGGGAAATGTAATGTCTTTGCTCCTTTTCCCCTATGCCCAGAGCTAGAATCTGCAAAGATGGCTGTCTGGGCAAAGTGTTCACAGCTGAGAGTGGGGACTGTATGGCCTCCTCTGTTTCTCCACCTGCTACACTGCACCTCTGGCATTCAAGTCAAAAATTACACCCATCCACATATTGCTGATCACAGCTGTATTTATAAATGTACTAATTATGAGATATGCCAATATAATAAGCTATGAGTATCTCATTATAATATTAGCTAACATGTATATAGCATTTCCTATGTCCCAGGCACCATCCTAAGCATTTTACATGAATAAAGTCATTTAATCCTCACTACCGCCCTATTAGGAAAGAGCTCTTGTTGCGCCCATTTTATAGATGAGAAAAGTGAGGCGTGGAGAATTTAAGTAGCTTGCCCATGGTCACACAACTGTTGAGATGGTGCAGCCAGGAGTCAACTCTGGCAGTGAAGCCTCAGAGTCCCTGCTCATAATCATCATGCTGTACCACAGAATGGTAATGCTGTTTTACTAGAAGGGAATTAGAGCACCACACTGCGAACCTCTATTATCTCGTCATTCAACATGCCTCAATTTATTTAATCTTTGTAACAACTCTAGGAGTTAACCATTATAGTCACCATTTTATAGCTGAGGAAATAAAGGCTTGCAGAGCTAAAGTATTTGCCCCAGGTCACACAATTAGTAAAAAGGCAGAGCTTTAACTTATGCCCAGATATTCTGGTTTTAATGCCTATGTCTTTTTGTTTTGTAATATTTCTATTGGGAGAACTCATCATTGAAAATAAATCAAAAAATATTTCTAGACACTGTTTTCATTAATTAATAAATTATCCAATCATTAATTTCCTGTGGAAGTAACACGTATAGCCATTAGATCTCTTCTTGAATATTTCAGATGAAGTAACTTTTAAAGATTTTTCCAGGTAGACTATTTCGTGCTAACTCTTATTGCCTACCTATGTATATCAGATTGAATCTGAGAGTGCATTGTGTATGAGCTATTGTGTCATATCATATTATAACTACAAAACACTGGATTACTATTCACAGCCAGAAAGAACAATAATCATTTTGTATTCTAATTAAATCATTACTCATCCAAAAACGTATTTGGAATTTTAAAAAATAATCTACTTTGACTAAAATGATTAATATTTGTCCATAAAGAAATACAAGTTTGTTTTGCATTTCTGCAAGATGTGTATTTTACAGTGTAGACCCAAAGCTAGCCTGAAATATCAGAGGCCGACATCTACAATTATGGGCAATCAAGGAAGGCGCGCTGAGTGCTGAGGTCCCTACTCCCTCCTCTCTCTTATTCTTCCAGGACTTTTTACTGTTGGACTTTGAAGAGTTAGGAGGCAGTGACACTCCTGGGGGCGGGGATGAAATTCTCTCCTAACCGAAATGTGTTACATTTTCCAATCACTGCAATTTTTTTAAAAAGGCCTGTATGTAGAACCAGACATTTTTACAAATGACTTGGCAAACTGGCAGTTGTGATCTGCTTACAGCCAGAAAAACCTCTTGATTTAGAGCTCTTTAATATTGAGCTGACCACAAATCCCTTTATTGACTAAAATGATTACGTTAATAAAAGATCTTGTAATAATTTCAGACTCATACTTTATTGTTTTTACTTCAACCTTGATTTAATAAAGCTCTCATTTAAAATATTATGTTATTTTAACCTAAATAATGATTTTGAATTCATTAAAAAGCCTTTTAAAATAACCTGTACCACATTAACAAAAGAAAGGTTAAAATTTTATGATCATCTCCATTCCCGCTTTAAAAAATCTTCTAGTAAACAAGGAATAGAATGGGAACTTCCTTAGCTTGATAAAAGTTGTCTTCCAATATGTACACCAAAAATCATCCTCAAAAGTAAAATGTTAAAAGCTTTTGAAAATCAGAACCAAGGAAAACATTTCTCTATTATGACTCTTATTTAAT